CGGGTACGTTATTGGGGGGACACCCTGGCAAAGCACCTTGTCCCCATGTTGATAAAGACAAGGGCCTTTCCCCACAACTATTGTGGGGGTCTCCTGGGAAGGACAAATCAGAATCTGGAAGCCCCATTTATGAGTAGTGAGGGAAAGAAGAAGAATAAAGGAAGCCCCCAGATGCTGCCCCCCACGTGAATAAGTAAGGGGTACATAGTTTTAAACATAGTTTTAAATCCCATGTTGCACATCCATTGTCAATCACATCGTCCAGCTATGCAGATTCTCATCCATGACAATAAATTAGGTTTAACAGCATTGATCTATACTCCTGCCTGGTGCCCCGTTCAAACAAGCCCAGTCCACTGCAGTGTGTCACATCGCACATTAAGGTGCACAATGTATATCACAGATGATTTTTTTTTAAAAGGTTGGTATTCGTGCCTGTGGATACCACCTTTCCCCCAACTATAAAAGCAATTAAACTAAGTGACAGCTGCAGTGAAAGACCAACAGATGACTGGACCTCTGGACCTCAGTAAAATTGAATTGTTATATTTCTTTCTGTGAAGAAGCACTTACTGTTTATAATCATGCATCTAACACATCTTGGGAAACACTGAGAATTATTTTTAAGGTAGGGAGGGCCAGTGGCGTAACAACCGGGGGTGCGGACTGGGGAGGGCACTGATAACTGATTTTGGGTCTCTGGTTTAGAAGATCAGCTAATTTGTATATTTGCGGCCCTCGAGTTCAGAAATTGAGAGTGAACTGTTCATAGATCATCATACCTCCCTTCTCCATCTCATATGGCGGGACTGTCCCTCATTTGGAACCAAATCCATCTCTCCCTTTTTCCTCCTCAGTCGTCCCTCTTTTGGTCTGTATAGGGCTGCAACCAACGAATCGATTAATCAAAAAAATTATCGGACAACTAATCGATTATGAAAATAATCGTTGGCTGCAGCCCTAAAACTGTATTATTTACTAACAAAAGTGTTATTCTGCACTAAATCAATCATGTCTGAATTATTTTGTTTGTTATGGTCCACATAACTGGGAGCTTAGAAGGGGGGTGTCCTGCCTAAATACCTAAATAAAAGTAAAGTTGCTTAAGGTGTCCCTGTTTTTTATCTTAGAAAGGTGGACGGTATGGGTTATACTTGAAGATCTAAAAAGTTGCCCATAATGACCATTTAGAGATTACACTGGTGTTGTATGGCTAGCTTACATCTAAACAGTACTTATCAAATTTCATTATTACATTTGAGATTGTTTCTTTTTGTTTGTTAGAGATACTAGTATGAAAAAAGAGTCAAATGTAAGCGGCTGCAAAATTAGAATAAAACATTCACTTCATTCTAGACATGACATTGCCACTAATGCACATACCGAAAAAATACTACCCGCTCACTCTTTATTCAGGAATTTTGTGTGTAACTTCATTGACTTTCCAAAGCCACTTGTAGCCATGGTGAATGGACCTGCTATTGGTATTGGTACAACTATTCTTGGCTTATGTGACCTCGTGTATGCATCTGACAGGGTAAGTAACTTCTGTTATGTATTAATTATTATATGTAAATATGTATTGAAAATAATATTTTTGTCTGATGTCACAGCTAGTTTTAATGTGCTTATAGAATTATATAAACAGTAAAAAATCTCATAATCAAGGCTACTGTTTTTTTTTCTAAGGATAAGCACACTTTTCACCCAAATGTCCAATCACCCTCCCTATTACCCCTATATATAATAACACCAACCTCAAATAACACAATAGCAGAGGTTGTGACATATGCCAGGTCTGGAATTACTTACACATGTGCAGCTATTTACTATATTTTTTTGAAGGCTTAAGTGGCCATACACCTTTCGTTGTGCAATGCTTGTAAGGTGATTAAAGGTTTGTACGACCTGCCCATCATGGACAAGCAGATCGTACTTGCGATCCTCTGAGGGGAGGGCTTGCAGATGATTGCAACGGTACGCGGGCAGTGTGCGCTTGCGCACCTCTGGTCCTGCAGCTTTCGTCTTGCGACCACGCTACCAACCCGCCGAAAATCGTACGATTTTCAGTGGGTTTTCTAGCGTGCTCGTTATATGAAAATCGTACGACTGTACAGTAAATGCGGTCGTACGCTGCCCATCAACCTTAAGATTATCGTACGATCGCAGGATCACCCGAGATTATTGTACGATAATCGTCAGGTGTATGGGCACCTTTACATGGAAATCGGATCTTTATTGAAGTCTATAGTACAAAGCTGGACATGTACAAGGCAGCTCCTGAAAACTGGTGCATGAATTTACATAAGCTGCAGCATCAGTGCTCTGCTATTATCTGATCTGAAGTAAATTATATTGTATACAGGGATTATGATCAGGAGGGCAAGTGGGGGCATTTGAATGATCATTCGGACGATTAGTGAATAAAAGGTGCACGTATCCATTCGTAACAAACAAATGAAGGCTGTGCGACATTTGCGACAAGCTGACATTGCAAAAAAACTATTTTGTGCATAATTCTGCATTTGGATCTAAAATAACCTGAATAAATCAAATAATGCTCAATTAAGCTTCTTTAACCTGCTGGTAAAACCACAGGTTCACTTTAATGAAATTGTCAAATCTCTTTGAAGTACTACTAAAATCTGCTGGGGTCATGGTAACAGCCCTTGTCTTCCATTCATATTTAACTTTTATCCTCGTATGTATATTGATCTCACATAAACGACTAATTCATGGAAATAGGAGGTTCATAGAGAAAAGAGAAGCTCACCTATTCAATGAGTGGTGTTAGAGCAGAGGTCAGTGTGGGAAAATGACTACTAGCTGAACTTACTTCAAGAACTGTAGTTTGGATCAGTTGTCCTTGAAAGTGAATCTAAACCCAGTAGACAAATTTTTTTAATATAAGCATTTGATAACTGTGCATAGGCATTAGTATTTTACACAGCCCAAATAACTTTTTAGAAGTTATTATATAGTGGTCATGTGATTTTTTCCTATACCTATACACCTCACTGTCGGACAGAAATGCTGAGATCACTGTCACTGTCAGGGAGGTTCAGTTTCTTATCCGCATGGCCCCAAGGAGCTGATTGGCAAATAGATGATGAATGCTCAGGTGGTACCTACAAACACTCACAATGCTGGAGCCACCCAACTGTAGCGATCAAATAAGGCGGTGTACAAATATATAAACACATAAATATATAGTTATATTTATGTGCGTAGTGAAAATTGGATCGTCAGAAAATATCCAGGCAACCTCAGTTCTTTTCCAGAGAGTAGCATTTAATTGGATCGAAGAAACAGATGAACAGAAACAGTCCGACAGAGTAATAATCGAAATCAAATATCTAGACCTCAGATGACAAAGGTTCCATAAGGACCCACTCCACCCAGCATATATCTCCAATCTCTATATGCACCTATGTGCCTCTCTTCATGACTCTGATCTTTCCTAGCCACTGTAGGCTCTGAATTCATATACAGTTTAGTGCCATTTACTAACACTGAAAGGATTTCTCATTGGCTGGTCTAATTACCCCTTTGATGTTAGTTAACTAAACAGGTTTTGACATAATTCCCTACAGCTGTTCCTTTGTGTACAATCAACACCCTGAAAACAGGATGGTCAGCTGCTCAATAAACTTACACAATAAAAACCTAGTTAGTTTTAAATAACATCAGCAAAAATAATTTCCTGCAATACATAAGCATACACCCTAAATATACCCCTAATATATCTACTTCAATCATAATTTACAACACCAACATGCAAAAGAAAACTGGTCAAGTGAAGACTGCTGATACTCACAATGATGAAGTCACCCAGAAGGCAAAGGAAAAGTGGTTAAGTAAAGGCTGCTGCCACTCACAATGCTGGAGATGCCCCACAGGCAGATGAAGGGTGTCACATGGGGTGGCTTCAGAAGCAGAAAATATAGATTGAACAGCTTCAATTAGGGGAAGGACTGGGGCATGCGCAGTAAGAGTTGCAACCCAGAAGATGGAAGATCAGATGAAATAGCATTGCCACTCTGATCCTGATATGTCCCCTCCTTCTCTATTGAAACAGGTAGTTATCTAAAAAGGTAAGCGCAACACGTAAAAATGTTCAACGCGCAAGAGCTAATAAATTAAGAACCAATGACCCTTACAAACTTTTTGGATTGACTGACCCCTTAGGAACCCCCACCCCGAGTGCAGCCCACCATGTAATATACTTAGCTGCCTTCCTGCTCCTGCAGTCTTCACTGTGGTTGGGTTGTACTCATAGCAGCCTCCAGCTATCCAGTGAAGTACAGCCCATCACTATTAATGAATGGGGCCACTACATCCTTGCACAATAAGAAGAGGACCTGGCTGGGACATTTTCCTTGCCTGCCCAGTCAGGACCGCACAGTGAAGATTATGAGAACGAGCAGGAAGGGCTGCACTCAGGGGTGTGGGGAGTTGACATAAATGTATTTTTAAGACAAAATTTAAAAAAAAACGTTCAAATGTATACAGACAACATAGTCGGCCCAGCAAAGTCTTCTGTTATTCATTCAGACATTTCTAGCTGTACTACGTCAGACAACTGCATTGCTGAAAATCTTGTTCTTGACTGTCTGGTAGTCTGGGAACACTAGTCACTTATTCACGTGCTAATGCAGACCAGTTGTCCCCAATTCTGTCTTCTGCATTGAGAGAAGTTGCACAGCACAATGTCATGTAACCCTCAAATAGAACTGCCAGTGAGACATACAGAAGAAAATATACATTCTGTGGAATTAAGTGTGCTAAATCATGTTGTCATGAACTGACTACATAAAATTAAGTTGGCTCTGTAGACAGCTAGCTTGTATTAAAATTAGGCAAAGTATTCTTCCTAAAATGGAACTATAACCGCCTATGTCTTACAGCGAAGGAAGGAGCCATCTTAGCTTCTATATGGGTTGCAGTTGCCATGGTGCTGCACATGTGATCAGCTATGACACCAGCCATTTGAAGGCTTGAAATCTTGTTTGAGAGCTGAAATAAGCACACTGGCAACCTCAAAAGTAACTGTTCTGGGAGACATACATTGTAGGGTAAAGTTCCTCTTTAAGCTGTTTTCAAACAGTAAATATTTGACCTGTAAGAATATTTCAGATCCCTGTTGTATTTATAGGCTACATTCAACACACCATTTAGCAAGCTTGGCCAACATCCAGAAGCATGCTCTTCTTATACCTTCCCAAGAATAATGGGCTCATCAAAGGTAAGTCACTAGTAAAACAAATATAAAAGATACTTCTGTTAGAACATGTGTCATTATTCAAAACATAAACATTTTCATGTACGAAGTATCCTTCACACTAAAATGTTGAACTTGGCAGTACCTGCTTTTAGTTGCCTGAAAGTCATTGCCAGTCATATGGTCTCAGACCTTTTGCTGCCACATACAAACCTAAATTTCCCTGTTATCCCCCATGATTACCCAATCATCACTTATCCCCAGAGGTGGGAACCCTCAGGCTTTGACCTGAAGTTTTTGGATCTTCAGTAAGCCTGGCAGACCTAGGGGGATTTTGTAGGTGCTAGTCGTTCACCATTTCCTTCTTTAAAAAAAAAGAGCTTTAGGCAATATAATGAAACACATGCATTATTTATATTACAGTATTAAATTACAATATGTCCTATGTGGCAATTTTTAGCATTTTGCTTAAAATTAAACCTTTAGATATATACAGAGAGCAAAGCCTTCCTATTGAGAAATTCAGTTTTTCCTTTTAGACATTGTTTTAGTGCACCATCCCTCCCTAACTCTCTTTTGCTTGCAATCTGGCGATTCTTGAATGTACATGTTGGTGATGCTGCAGCGTCTACCTCAACATTCGATGTCAAAAATTCCAGTGCTAAGATGTTTCTTACAGCCACCTATCTCTTCAAACCTGCCTTGGAATTTTGAACGTAATTGGTGATGCAGGAAGAAAAGAGAGAGCAAGTTATGAACGTAATTGGTGATGCAGGAAGGAGAGAGAGCAAGTTATAAGGCAAAGGATTCAGGAATTACATTCCTACTGCCCACCCATTAACCCTCTGTGAAATGATCAGTGTTTACTCTGCACTGGATTAAATTATGGTAATCTGGGTTAATTTTCTGACTTTAGAGGAACAGTTGCTGTGTTTTTACTTGCTAACAATATTAGCTTATTCAATGCTTTAACGTGTTGCCTAGGGGGGCTTTTTGATTATTAAAAAAAAAGGCTACTGTAAAGAAATCTACATGCGTAGGCTACCATTTTTTGTGGCTCATAGTCTAATTTTATATAGTAAACTCAGACATTATTGACATAGCTTAGCAGAATGTACATTTAAATTCAAGGAGTGAGCCCTAGAGCATTTTTGTACCATGAAAGCCTTTTAGAACGCATTAAAAAAAGTCTACCAGATGAATAAGCTTCATGTCACACTGGGTCCCATTCATATCTGTGCAGGGTTTTATAAATAAAATAAAATGTTTATTTTTGTCAGTGCTGGCTGTAGTGCCACCCCAGGCTGAAGCCCAATTTAGGGGTGTTGCTAG